AAGGTCCCACTGACTTAATTTCAATTTCCATTTCAATGAATTTTTATATAGCGCCTTTCACAACAGTCTCTCCCAGGCTCTTTGCACAGATATTTTGTGATACATTGCAACATCATTAGAGAGAGTAATATGTAAAGGGACAAAAGGAAGGAAAGAGATTAAAGAAAGCAGATGACAACGGAGGAGAGGAACCAAAAACTCACACGCAAGGAGCAAAATAACCTCTGGGGGTCCAAGATTCAGCATCAGCGGGTCTCAAAATATGATTATTTTATGGTTGCATATAACATTAATGTTAGCAAGCAAGCAGAATCAGAAAATAGTAGCTGATTAGCAGAACATGCTGCTTCTGCATCTCCTAAACAAGAACGAGTTTATTTAGTGTAGTGATGGTATGTGGCCAACTGGGGGGGGGGGGTATGGGGGGGCATTCAAATGTGTGGTTTGAGTGGGGGTGAACACCACCGCTGACTGGAGGATACAAACAGTATAGATGTGGACGCTAGATGTGGCTTCTTACCGCCGCAGTGCCAGTCCCGTCAATGCAAAATTTCTTTTCAATGTTGCTTCATTTTCGACGATTCTCGAAGAGCCTTGAGAAAGATCCAGCACAACAACTGTAAAAGCGAGGAAGCCCGCAAACTCACGTTCGTCTGAGGGACGATCCACAGACCATCAGAGTTATACAAAAAAGACGATTCAGTCTTGGGCCAAGGTTGATCGTTGTACAACCAGCGGACAGCGTGGAACATGGCTGCTGATGGTAAAATTCATCTTGTTGTTTGCCGAAGCCTGTGATGTTTGGTATCAGCCTCTGTCAGTGTTTATTTATCACGAGGGTTGGAGAATGAATTGCTTTTCTTTTTAATTTAAAGGCCGTTTCCCTTCTTATTTGGATCAATGAACTTAATGAAATCTTCATTGCCTAGGCGGTCTGCAGTAATCTCCATGAACGCCAATCTTGCAAAGGCCAGTTTATTTCATAAAGCGAATTACTTACGTCGGTGCCCTTTAAGAGGACATCAAGAACTGCGCGTATGGTTTGTCACGTCTCCAAAGCTGTACATTATGAATTTTAGTGTTCATCTGAAGTGAACATTAGTAACGAAGGGAATGAACGGCAAACGCATCGACACACAGGTAAAGACTGAGAAGGAAAAAGTCGCATTTACCAACAAACTACTGGGCTTTTACTGTTGTAAAGATGAGGCCCTTACTGTACTTCGGGATTGGATATCTTATGAGAGAAATCTCTTCACACTGCATAATGTCTAGTATGATTATCACGACACAGATAAAAATGACTGTGCTTCTCAAAAACTTGTTTACACCTTGAATGCATCGCACTCACTCTTCAACGCACAATAAAACGCACAACGCATAATAATGCTGTATCTGAAGGCCGTACCTCATTACTCCAGAACTCTTCACAATTAGCTTGGAGATGCTCTCGTAGCGTTATGCAGTAGGATCAAAAGGTGTATGTGGAGAAACTACCTTACACGTTTTTATATGCTGTAAGGAGGCTTAGAAGAGCCCATTTGACCAGTTATTTTCACCCGCGTGATGAAACGGCAGACAGCAGTCTTCCTTGACACTGGTAGTTGCTGGTTTCCTCAGTCTCTTGGTCTCTCTGGACTCCAGCTTTCATTCCAGCCGAACTCTTAATTAATTATCCTCAGCTAAAAATTTGGTCCACTGACTCCGATAACTCAAAAGGCATTAAAAATGAATTTGTTTGCCGTTTAAAATGTTCAGTTCTGGTCCAGTTGCTCTTGAATTGAATCTAACGGCTTGATTGATCCGAACCACGTTCAGTACTCGTTTATTCTGTTTTGGTTGTTTCATAACAGATTAAAAAAATAGCATGGACCTGTTTTATTGCATAATGACGAATGTTTCAACATTTTAAATTTTTCTCGACACTGATAAATTTATAAGGCTGGTTATTTCATTTTGAGGGTAACAATTTAAAAATGTATCTTACAGGTAGGCCCTGATTAGTGTAATTTGAAGCATGCAGTTCATTCAGCTCAAGACTAATTACTTAAGGTTTCATCCTATAAAAAAAAAAATCTACCTCCAGGATTATGGTCATACCCAGAGGAAAATAAAATCTGAATGAAGATCTCAAAGCTGTTCCATTTAATTCTCCTAGACAACGATGAGATCTGTGCAAAACCAAAATGAGAACACGACTAATTTCTCCTGTCTCTTTTTCTCTCCAGCAAAAATACACACAAAATCAGTCTCGCTTTCAGTTTCAAAAGAGACCTCATCAAGCTCTACAATAGCTCTTAGATTGTCTCAACTTTTGTGCCTCTTTTTGATCTACGATGGAGAAAGTGGAGAGCACTTGTTATGAACATCCCAGCAAAGTTCAAATACCTGCATGAAATTGGCACCCATGTGATCAGAAAATAATAAAATGACTTCTGTGTGTTAGTTTGTGCTGGTTTGTGCTGCAACATAAACATTTGTACTTTACTGCTAATTTCAATTACTGATTCAGCCTCTTCGAGTACAGGTTCAAAATTCGAGACCATATTTAGCTGTAGTTGCTGAGGTGCCCCTGGTTTCATGCTACGTCATAGATGAAGCCCATGCCTTCCACCTCCAGAGACCAGGGATGGAGCCGCTCCCCTGACTTTATGTGTCCGAGTCTCTTGGCTCCAGTACTGCTCATTGAAGGGACAGTGTAAAGTTCGGCAAGATTTCCTGTTTGTCTCAAATATGACTCCTGTCCTCTGGGTCACCTGTGTCCCCTTCATTTCTCCTACTGAATTTTAGGATAAATATATCAGACGAAACAGAAACTAAAGTGAGGCTTAAATGAGAATCACAATTTTCTCTCCCCAAGCCATAGAAGAGCAAAGCTATGAGCAGTAAAATTTTCATCTGGCTATTGACTGAATCATTTGAAATTGGTCCTTAAAAGCACATTTTTAAATTCAAATCTTTGTATTTAGGAAGATAACTAATAATGTTACCTTCATAAGTAAACTTTTAGGCTTAGCTATATGAAAATAACACTGGAACTTAATCAAGAAGTGACAAAAACTAATTATTATCTAAGCTGGTAGCCATGGCTCAGGCTCCAATATGGCCGGGTGTAAGTACTGTCCGAAATTCATACCACCGGGGAACAAACGGAGGACAAGCAGCAATGGCCAAGTGTTCCAGGACTGTCACACATCGGCTTCTCGATTTGGCCAAGGGCTCCTCACTCCCAGCTCATTTCTAACCAGTCTGAAATCAGGCATGAGAGACCCTCAAGGCATGAGAGACCCCCAAGGCATGAGGGACCGCAAAGGCATGAGAGACCCCCAAGGCATGAGGGACCCCAAAGGCATGAGAGACCCCCAAGGCATGAGAGACCTCTAAGGCATGAGAGACCCCCAAGGCATGAGAGACCTCTAAGGCATGAGAGACCCCCAAGGCACGAGAGACCTCTAAGGCATGAGAGACCCCCAAGGCACGAGAGACCCCCAAGGCACGAGAGACCTCTAAGGCATGAGAGACCCCCAAGGCATGAGAGACCTCTAAGGCATGAGAGACCTCTATGGCACGAGAGACCCCCAGGCATGAGAGACCCCCAAGGCATGAGAGACCTCTAAGGCATGAGAGACCCCCAAGGCATGAGGGACCCCAAAGGCATGAGAGACCTCTAAGGCATGAGAGACCCCCAAGGCATGAGAGACCTCTATGGCATGAGAGACCCCCAAGGCATGAGAGACCCTCAAGGCATGAGAGACCCCCAAGGCATGAGAGACCTCTAAGAGACTGCACCGCTGCCAGATGAGAGCCAGGCCGCCTTCAGAGGAGAGCTGCCTGACTCAGAGGCACATCTGTAATTACAGCTGCTCAGGCTTAGCAGCTCCGAGACACACGGCTGTGTGAGATCACAGACAGACCAGGCTTACTGCCCCCCCCCAAAACATCAAACTGAGACACACATCAAATGGTACTGCCATTACATTTTTTTTACTTCTAACTTAATTGTAAACTAATTAATCACATAAAAATTCACCCCTATGCACCAAAATAACTGTCATCAAAAGTTACAGGATTAATTACATTGTGTTTACCCATCTTTCAAGTGTCCACCAGTCAGTAAAGTGTATTTATAAACAAAAGGCTTTAAAAAAAAATCAAAGACCAGTGACAGTTAAAGGGATTTTGGGATAATGAGGGCACCAAGAGCCCCATGACAGCAACAGAGAAGAAACAGCCTTCTTTGGCTGAGAAACAAGGATATCCCAGGTACCACATCAATCTGGGCTTTGCTGAAGGGTGGCGTCAAGAAAATCCATCTTTTAAAAAAAGGCTCTTGGTACAGCTCTCCACGGGGCATGTGAGAAGATTTTATGGCCTAATGGCATTATACAAAAGCAGAGGAAAGTTTGGGGGATGCCTCTCCGCTTTGGGGAAAGTGGGCGAGAAAAGGAGATAAATCAAGGTGCAGCGAGGTGCAGGGCTGCCTGGACTCTGCGGGAGGCTGGTGAGAAGATCCATCTTCCAGATGGACGGTGACCTGAAGCACTCAGCGAGACCCACTGCGGGGCTTAAACAAAAAAGCTCACCGTCCAGGAGCAGCCAGCGAAGAAGCCTGGACGTGAATCTCAATGACAGCGGCGTGCTGCTGTCCGCCAGGCGGAGCGAGAGCAACTTTACGGCGAAGGGCAGATATACTGAAATCTGCATTCACCTGCACGCGCCCCTCTGGCACGGATTCAATCACTTAATTTCAGTTCGTTATTTGTAATCGATTTTTAAAAGCTTATTTTTTCATTTTCATATTACAGAGAACATTTTGTTGATCAGGATAAAACAAATTCCTAATAAATTCCTTGTTTGTGTTTGTGGGGCTATATAATGTCCCAAGGGTTCGACACTTTTTATATGCACTATAAAATAAAAATAAACGTGTGACTGAACAGCTCATCAATAAAGACTGTAAACGTGTGGGATAGAAACGCAAGTAAATCACGAATACATACCTTTAAGGGGCAGAGGTTCTGGGCTTTCGTCCTGCTGGGGCAAAAAGAGAAAAGTATGAAAATAAAATATAGGTATATAATCCCGATTCCCCGTGTCTCGCAGGGAAACTGATGAGAGTCGTGCACCAATTTGGACTCGACTTTCATTCCTGTTTGGCTCACAGGCAGACAGAGAGAGAGCAGAGGTACAGTCACACTGCAGCTTAGACACAGTGTTCTGCGAGGGAGCAACACACCCGACATTAACAAATGCTCCGCGTCACAGGGTGACAGCTGGTGCCGCTTTGATGAAGTGGGCAGCGCTAGCGGAGCTAAATGACAGGGACCGGGAAGGCAAAACGGCCCAGAGCTTGGGCTGAAGTGAAAGCGAAAGCGGGACACGCTTAACACGGCGCCCCCTGCAGGGCGGCCACTCCACATGCCCCGGCCAAACGCTTTGATGGGCGCCTTTTGTCTTTATCGCATCTTGTCACTGGGTCCCAGTGATTTTTTTTTTATTATTTTTTGCCAGGATTGCCTCATTCCACATTTCACGATGCTCACCGTCATCCATATCTGTGGCTCCATCTCTGCCGGAAGAGCCGCACTTGGGGCACCCGCGACCCCGAGCCGCCCCCCCTCTTACGGCACTGACCCTCCGGGTGTTTGCCCCATAAAGCCATTAATCAGATATGGTGCTTTAAATTTAACTTGTCATTGTCAGGGTCAGGTCCTGTTCCCAGTCTTTCGTGTCGCTTCCCCGTATGGCCAGCAGGTGTCGCTGGTCATCCCGTCCCTCCTGTTTTCAGTCTGTTGTGCTTTCCTCTGCTCCCTGTTGGCCACATGGCTCAACGCATTGTGCATGCGGCTGCCTGTCATTCTCTCTGTCTTGTGATTGAATCCCGCCGCCTCTGCTTTTGTAGATTTTGTTCCCTTGTGTTTCAATTGTATCAGTTTTCTAGTCCCTGTGTTTTCATTTGTATTCGGTTTTGGTTTTTGCCCATGATTGTGTTTTCACCTGTCAGTTTTCCCCATTGTTAGATTCTGTTTTCCTAGTTTGAGTTTCATGTTTTAGTTTATTAGCTTCACCTGTTGCCTGCCCTTGTGTGTTTCCCTGATTGCTCGTTGTCCTGCACCCTCCCTGACTGGTTAATTGTCTGCCTCACTCCTGCTTGCCATTACCCCATTCAGTTTTTGTATTTAAGTTCCTGTCTGAGTTTAGTCCCGAGTAGTTCGTTGATTTTGTTTGTGACATTTGGATGTTAATGTAGTTTTGAACATGCTGTTAGTAGCCTGCCTGTCTTGACCCTTTTGTATATTTAGTCTTTGTTTTTCCCCTTTTGTTTTTGACCCTTCGTGGTCCTTTTGGTTTTTGTCGTGTTCTTAGTGTTTTCTGTTTTGTTTAATAAACCCCTGTCTGGTGAGCCGCAAGTGGGCCGTCCACCATGTCTGCCTGTATCAGGCCACATCCTCGCTCCAAACCCGCCCAGGTCCATAACACTCATAGGAAATGATATTTTAATGCTGAGCGCTGATTTATCCCCTGAATCAAATTGATGGACGACCGATTTTTGTCAACAACTTATCACACCCAAGTAAAATTAAACTTTAATAGGTCAGCACAGTCATTCTGTCATCTAAATGTTAAATGACAGACTGCATGCACGGGTAGTAATTTGGTTAATGACTTAATAGACGGGGCATATTTATTTCTTCCAAACAAGCAGGCTAGATGTGATGTATTGCAGTGTGATGCAGTTTTCACGGTTTAGCAGAAAACTTTAATAGACAACTTTAGATATTATTAAAGTCCCTCTTTTTCAGTTGAAAGGCTTTAAAAACGAGTTTTTCTGATTGTCACAGTCCAGCAATCTTAATCTCATGACTCGTGCTATTTCCCAGGGCTGAGATAAACAGTAATTCCCCGCCTTATTGAAAAATATTTCCGGCGTCATTATCTGCTGTACAGAGGTCGGTCAGGAGGCTTCTGCGTGAAACTTCTCTGGACTTTTGAGTACGCAATAGGCCCTATTCCCTGATAATATAACCGTAACAAACCTTTATTTACCATTTGCACAAGTACAGGACATTGGAATGCTTCTCTTTGCCTGTACCATCTTGCTCTGCGTGGCTTGGGGGGGTCACAGCGTAGGGTCAGCTTATGTCCGGTGCCCCTGGAGTGATTTCACTTTGTCTCAGACAGGGGGCGCTGGTGGTGAAGTTTGCCTAAGACTCCATATGGGCTTTGACCGGCAACATGAACACAGTGCATGTATCATGTGATAATCCATCGATTAACCGCAGCATTTCAGAGTAGCGTAGAAATTTATTAGAACACAATTACTCTCTCCTTAATGCGATTGGGGGACAGTAGGATGCATTAACCTATCCGCCCAGCTCTCATGTGCAATGTGTTCCTAAGTTTGGCATGTAAAAAATGATCACACCCACAAACATAATTAAAAATACAGAAGTGCCATCTTGGAGTCACTGCTAAACGGAATAAGTTATATGACCGCTGGCCTGGGGAATTAAGGCATACATAAATAATTAGGCAGTTCACAACATGCTGAGCACTGAAAAGCCCCGCAGCATAGGTGCAGAGTCAAGTTCTTTCCGAGCGAGTTTATTCATCTATTTTTGAGCTTTTTGGTAAGACTGACGCTCCAAATTGCGCGATGCACACTCGGGGCGACATCTGACCCGGGGTCCGCGGTCGGGATCGGGATCGAATGACCCCAGGACTGCGGCGGTAACGCCCACGGGTCCCGCTCTTTCGTTTGAAAGGATGAAGCTGAGGGCTGCATTAGAGAAGCTCCCTGGGTTAGTTCCTGCTTTGCAGCTCTCTACACACACTACCTGCCGTCTTCCTCAGCATTTATTCTGGTCAGAAGTTGATTAAACTTTTATCCACTTATAGCGTGAAACAGTTTCTCACCGTGAGAACATGCAGACTTCACAGGCAGAGCAGAGAAGCCATTCAAACACCGAACCCTGCAGATGTGAGGCCACAGTACTACCTAATACCTTAATTTTTTATATTAATTGTGCATTTATTTTTTTCTTTTTACATTTACCAGCATTTTATTTTGCAGGCTAAATCAAAGTTACATCAAGGTATCAAATACTAAATACTAAATACTAAATACTAATTTCTAAATACAAATACCAATTTCTCATAACAAATAGCATACAGTATAATCCCTGTAGTACTAAAGTACAGGTTGACTTACAGTCTAACATTTAATATTCTTTAGAAGACGTTATTTTTAAGACTGCAGTAACAGCAGAGCGAAACTTTTGATCGAGCGCACTATTAAGAATCGTCACTCTCTAAGGAGTATTCATCACTATAAACTCCCAATACAAATGTGAAGATAATAACCAAAAAGGTTGATTATGGCTGCCGCGGTAATTGCTGTAGTGGTATCATTCTCTGCGAGCGGCCTGACAGCCGCGCCAGCGATGCCGATCTCAGCAGAGACTCTTTCTCCACCATCTGTTACAGCGTTTTACTTTCTGTGCTGCTTAGTTAATCACATAGTTTTGCAGATCTAGACCACTGACTGAAATGCAAATTCATTTCTGAATTCCTGAATGTTCTGTAGTTACTTCCTATATTCAAGTTAAGCTTCAACTGCAAAAAGTAATTATTTTTTAACCTGTAATTTGGCCTCAGGTCAAATTTAAACATGGTTATAACTACACCAACTGTCCAGGATAACTGGTTTATGATGATGATGATTATTCTTGCCTTGCACCTCTGGGTTGTGGGTTCAGTCCCTGCCCTGAGTTTCTGAGTGGAGTTTGCATCTTCTCCTTGAGTCCATTAGGATCTCCTCTGGGTGGGCCGTGAGTTTAGGTCAATTGCTGTATGGAAATACTTTGTGATTATGAGTGTTTGCTATTGCATGTGTTTGTATCTCTGTATGTTTATCAGTGTCTGTGTCTATGTGAGTATATGTCTTTGTAAATTTGCCCTGTGACGTACTGGCATCTGTACATCATGGTCTCCACTTCCTGGTGCCTGTGCTTCCTGGGAGAGACACCAGACTTTCACCCGGCACCAGATGAACTGTTCCCGGGAAAATGAACAGCAATATTTTGTAATGAATGTAATATAATAGATATTTCATTTATGAGCTATTTCTAATTCCCCTTTGTAGTGACTGTCGCGTAATACTCCATCAGGAAATCACATGCAAACCCTAACGCCAAAACGTCCCCCCCGGCAAAAGCCCAACTCCTTTAATTGGTTAAGGTACTCCGCAGCAATTAATTGTGTCACCGGCTGCACTCATGCGAGCCAATCCTGGGAAGATAATGAAACAGGACTGAAATCGATACCTTGTGTCGGAACCTCACCGACGGCTGATGGCTTTTTGGCTCATGTCCAGCGGCGCTCGGCGTCCCGTGAGCCGCCAGGAAAAAAAACCCAAGCAAGAGAACGGGGGCATGGCATCTGCGTGTCCTCATTGGGGGGTTTCTGCGAAAACGAGAGCAGGAAATAATCACCGCATGGTCCCCTAGCTACGATTTGCTCGGTACAGATTTTCAGGGGATAATGCATCAACCTGGCTGTAATTAAAGCAGACAATAAGCATGGCGGATCTGGCCCAACTTTAAGGCAACATTATCAATAAGTGTCTCCCGGGTACAGCGGGCATTAATCTGCTCCGAGTTCGTTACAATGTCTCGGGAAAATAATTAGCGGGAGACAAAGAAGTATTGTTTTAAGATAATTGCCAAAGCGATTTGGCGTTAATTACTCATAAGCAGCTGTACGTCTGCAGCCAGAATGGAAACTGAAAAGTCTGGCTGGGTACATGAAGTTACAAGTCAGTGCTGTTAAAGTAACGGGCAAGCGGAACAGCAGACTGCGGTCGCGTCACAGGAAAGTCACGCCGGATATTGACACTTTAATTCATAAATGAGCCCAGAGTCCCTTAAACAGATAATGAAGAATTAAAACTAGTTGCTGTATAACGTTTGTCAAGTTATTTTTAAGTCCCTCTTATCGTGCAGTGACAGTGCTTGAAATAGTTCTTTTTTCTTTCTCTCTACAGCAACAGACTGTCAACAAATTCTGAACAAATCCAGCTGATGCTGAAGCACCATGTGACCTCGTACTTAATGAACTGGACCTGAGGAATGGGCCTCAGCTCAGAAACAGCAGATCCTATAGTCTAAAAGCAAAGCTACCTGCAGTGTAAGTGGAAGGCTTTTATTACAGCAGCACAGAGAAGACCAGGGCCATCTTTAAAGCAGCCTCCTTCCCCTTGTTCTCTGTAATGTTAGCATTCTAGCAGGGCTGTGCAGCCAGTCGACCTTGGACCCCCCCAGTGGATTTTTTTCTCCTTACTTGGGAGTTTTTGGTTCCCCTCCTCCTTGTCTTTTACCATTCTTTCTCTCACTCTTCCATTTCTCCCTGTTTCATGCACCATCTTGTACAAACGATGTTTGCCACATACTTTTATCAAGTGCCTTGGGCCAGCTGTGTTGTGAAAGGCACTGTGTGGGAATCGATTGAATTGAAAATTGAAAGGGTGTACGCAGAGTTATTTTGGATGAAAGAACCTGGTCAGAAAGGCATTAATAAAGAGACTGGGAGAACTGGTGCTTGGGAACAGGCCTGAGCAGGAATTACCAGTACCAATAGAGAGGACCAGTACCACTAGGGAGGATCAGTACCACTAGAGAGGACCAGTACCACTAGGGAGGATCAGTACCACTACTCAGCTGCAGTGGACCTACACACTCATGGGCATCTCTGCACAGAGCCGGATACGGAGGCTTTGCGTCGCATTACGGGCCTCCTGCAAGCTCTCCTTCCTCCTGCTGTTTGTAGGTTAGGAACAAGTCTGCATGGATCTCTGTCTCTCTCTCTCTCTCTCTCTTTCTCTCACCCTCTCTCTGAGTGGGGAACATAAATGTTCATTACATCGGCTAAAAAGATCTGCTACGGGACATGGGCAAATTCACAGCAAGGCGCCTGCTGTTTGTGCTTAGTGTTTACAGTTTTCTCATGAATTCGGTTCTGCTGTTGCAGTTTAATAAAAAAAAGGAAAGAATATGAACAGACATTACATGATTGACTATAATTAATATCAGTGGTGGAATGTAACAAAGTATTTGTACTTCGTTACTGTACTTAAGTACATTTTTATGTATCTGTACTTTACTAAAATGAAAATAATAATGCATACTTCTTATTTTACTCCATTACATTTTGCGGCAATTATCTGTGATGGACCGGCATCCCGTCCAGGGTGTACCCCGGCCCCGTGCCCTGTGCTGCCTACAGGCCACCCCGTTTCACCCTGCACCTTCTAAGCAATAAGACGAAAGCAGTGCTTTAAATATGTAGCACTGTCATATAGTTTATTGTTTATGACCCAGCTCTGTCACAGTATTTTCTTCATTTTTCTCAATATCATTTGAAGTTAGGGGTCGTAGGTAATATATGGCTTAAATATGAAATAGATGTGGGGGGTATTGAAGCGACCCATAATTCAGAGCCCCTGGAATTCAATCAGCCGACGTGTGAGTGACTGATTGCTGTGGCAGCTTGGAGGGGGGGCCCGGCCTCCAGGGAGAATCATCACAAATACAGCCGCTAGCCATTAATCCATGACAGAAATTGTACCTCAGCCTCGGCCCTGACTTTCAAACGAAGAGCTCCCCGGTCTCGCAGGAAGCGCTCAGTGTGAGGTGGAGCCGCGTCAAGAACTCACTCAGGGGACCACAATCCTGTGACAGCTGCAGAGTCGCTCGGATTCCTGGGGATCTGTGGTCGCTGAGGACCTGCTGAGTTTTCTCCCAAATCTGGGATTATATGCATCAGCATGGATATTTCCTTCATTTGCTTTCACACATGCACTGTTTAATCCCACTCTTCCCTAATAGCCATTTTAAATGCTGTGCTGCTGAGTGAAATATGGGAAACCCTGAGGGGGGGGGGGGGGTTTACCACATAACCACGCCGATTCGGACTGATCGCTGCCACCTGTGCATTGCTCTGTTCCACATATCCACATATATAAATTGATATGTTCTGTGTTGTTTCGGCCAAATAAGTCATACAGCAGTTGAATCCAGTCCCTAGACCCCTAATCTCCTTCTCTTCAATCTTCCCCACGCCAGACTGATGTATCTGTCCCCGGTTTGTATAAACATCTTCCTTTTTCCCATAAATCCAGCCTCTGTTCCCATTTTTCGTTTGACCTTGAAAAAGGAAAAGCTTGTAAAGTTGGGAAAAAGTGCAGACAGTTCTCTCTCCCTCACTCTCTCCCTCACACTCTATTTCTCTCTTTCTCTCCCACTCTCTCCTTCTTTCTCTCTCTCCCTTTCTCTCTCTTACTCTCCCTCTCTCTGTCTCTCTGTCGAATTGTGCTTGCTGAATTTTCTAGTGGGTCAGGCCAAACTTGCGATTTGGCTGTCTCGGAAAAATAAGCTGAAAGGAGTTGGGCCGACGGACGCTAAGTCTATACTGGTGGGGCTGGTAGCGATGCGGCTCAGGGTGGGGTATGCGTACTCTGTGCTGACCCATACCCTTGCAGGAGTTCTCCACGGTGTGGGGGCCATGCAGAGTGTTGTGTGAACTTGGCGATGATCAAAGTCTAGTGTTGAAAGTATGATGTGAATGGTGAATTTGTGGAGTGATATCTTTCTTTTCTCATCTTTTTTTTTTTCTTTCATTTAATCTTTTGAGTAAGGATTAAGTGTGCATTTGTGATAATGAAGAAAATTTTAAAAGTCAAGTCTCTCTGTGTCTCTCTCTCTAACCCTCTCTCTCTTTCTCTCTCTCCTTCTCTCTCTCACTCTCTCTCCCTCTCTCTCTCTCTCTGAAATATAAACCATCATTACATTGACTAAGAGGATAAGCTAATGACGGGAGAAAGTCAGCCTTGCAGCACGCGAGCTCATTCACAGCAAGGCGCCTGCTGTTTCTCTTCTGCATTCAGTTGCATTTTATTGCAGCTTTTCTGAATTGCTAAAGCACATTTCCTAAAATTTCTTCTCCTTTTATCAAAACACTAAACACAAACCCTAGAAATCAAGCTACACCCACAAAACCTTTGACCCATCTTGCAAAATCAAACGAAACTATATTATCTTTGCTCAAAAGCAAACACTGCTTTCAGACCAAGGATCAAACCAGTCGGTACATAAACACTATATGAGCAGTCATTACACATTATAGCAAAAAATTGTATGTTTGTATACAATTATACTAAATGATATGTAATGTTTGCAGTATTCAGTACTCCAAAGAAGATACTGTAAAGAACAAAGTACAAAATCCAAATGAGAGGCATATTACACTAAAATGTCATGTAAAATATACATGCTGCCTCATCACCATGTCTCAGGGCTGGGTCAGGACAGAGAACTTTGTCTGCATCACAGGAAATGCTCTCCCTTGCAGGGCTATATGGGAAAAATCCTCAGTGTGACCGATTTGTACCTTGACGTTGAAACGCAACTGTGGCACTTGTGCTCTCATCCTGCATGAATTCTATGTCCTAGTCACTCTTTGGCTTCTTCTCATGTTACAATCATGTCTCATGGCAACACCTTTGAGTCATTGTGCTTAAATGATGTCTACTGTGTGCTGGCTGTGCTGAACTTCTGCAGCCTGTGTTTTCCACTTCGCATCGAAGTTCACCACGGTGCAAAATGTGTTTTGGTGAATGAGAATCTGTTTAGAGTTTCGCAAAATGGTGAGTCGGACCTGCAGATTGTGTCCAACTAGGTTAGCACTGTTTAAAGTTTGGCCAAAGGAGTTTTGGAAATTGGCAGTTTTGTTCCAAGAATGAGGTTTAGTGTTATAGCAATTCAGGAAAACTATAAAACGCACAAACATGAAAGCAATTCATGTTGTCAAGATTGATAGATTGTAAACCAACTCTTTTGTCTTCCCAACCAAACACACCTTCAAAACAAAGGTTTGGGGCTCATCATACGTCAGTAGTAACGATTCTTTTTCTGCTAAGTTGACAGCTGTGGTTTCATATGTTTGGTGATGCTCAGCATTGACTGCGAAGCCGGTCTTTGGCCCGGAGAGATCACACCTGGCATATGCTTGTTGAGCGATCATTTAGAGGTGAAGCAGTCAGTATAAAACATTTTCTTTTTACATTTTTATTTATTCATCAGATGTCTTTATCCAAAGTGACATATGTTCTTGGAGAAAAATTCCCCAAAGCAGTCGGAGGTTAAGAGCCTTGCTTACAGGCCCAAGTGTGAAATCACTCGACCTCTCCCGGGATGCGAACCTCTGAGCCACCGATCCCAGACACAGTGCTCTAACCCGCTGAGCAGCACAGCGCCGGGATTATGGGCCCCCGAAGGTGTCTGAGGTCCCCTCTTCAGGATCTTAAAATGAACTGGGGACAGTCTAAACGTCTCTGTGGCGCAGGTTCTGCTAGCAGACTTTAAATAAGGCCATTGATCACAAGAGTTCAAGTCACAGAGTTTTAATGGTATCATCGTATCCTTTTGTGCTATTTATTGTACAGCGATGCAGGATATATGAAAATATAGGGCAGCCGCCTAACCTGAGCCCCTCCAGTTGGCAGTTCAGCTGTATAAATGGATGTACCAGTCACTTTGTATAGTAGTGTTTGCTCTAAGGCGGGTCATGTAGAGGTTAACCTGAAGACTACTGCTCTGGGGTAGTGTTTGAGTACCTTCTCTAGCTGGTTGTAAGTTGTCCTTTGGCTGAAAGTAAGTATAATTTGCATCGTTTTAAATGTGCACCATAAATAAATCCAAAGCTTTCTTTGCACTCTGAGTTCCAAGCGAATTGTCAACAAGCGGATTTTTTCAGTGAAGAATCATTAAAATTGCGTTAGTTTTCAGAGGACAGTATGTCTTTGACTTTTTTGTTTGTTTTTTTTTTTTTGGACGCAAGTAAAACTCCAAGTCGATTCTCATTATTACACACTCTGCTACAGTCTGGAATCCAACAGCCGTTACGCAATGAGTCCTCTAGGAAGCAGCACTAATTGGGGAAGTACTTGTTAAAAATCTTCACAGGGAAAACACCCAGCTATGATTACACCTGATATGTTATCATACACCCCACAGACGGGACAAGAAATCCCGCTGCAGAAGAACCAGCGTTAAAATGCGGGAGAAACGGCAGCAGAATTTCACAGTGGCATCTCTTCCCCCCGGAGGATTTCAGAGGATTTCTGAGAGCTCAGCCCTGCACATACAGCTTGCAGATGTGTCAGGTGCGATCATTTTTAAGTCATGCTGCTCTGGGCTCTGGTCGAGGTGCCTGACTGCCGGCGATGTGCACGGGGAAGCAGGGATTCACGTGTGCGGGGTTTGGGAAAACTCATCTGCCTTTATCCTTGCAACTTGTTACAGCGATCTTAAAGATTTTACTGGGTCGCAGCTGATTTTCTGCAATGGTGTGTGTGTCACATTGTTGTTACTGCTGTTTAAATGACTAACCCTCATAAAATAAGTAATAGCAGCTACAATGTTTTTTGAGTTAATGAAAAAAAACATTTTAAACTTGGAGTACGTACCTGCAATGCTGTGCACACAGAGGTGCTATTTACTGACACTCGAACCACAAATTTACGTGGGGGCCTCACTTTGCCACAGACAGTAACTACACCGGGGGTCCCAAAGTGACTTCTTGAGTGGGGCCCTAGAAAGAACAACCCCCCCCCCCTGGTATCCACAACCAAATCCATTGAAAAGGAAGCCTCTTTTGAAATTCCTGCATATGTTTTATGTTCACTATTTAGTCCCTACAGTTTGTCAACGTGAGGACGCATTGCCCATTTACGCCTGGATATACGCTAAGGCTGAAAGGCGGGTGCTGTCAGATCCCGGGTGCAAGGGGAAGAGACTGGGGTATGAAGGACTACGCATGCGGGAAATAGCCTACATGCCACATGCCAGGTCCTCCGGGCCGCAGAGATATTACCGTCAAAAGAAAATGAAACTCGCATGGCGAGCAGCCCGGTCACCTGACCTGAACACAACACAACATCTGCTGCTTGTTAAAAAGATGACAGATAGATATGACCAATTTCCCCGAGTGAGTAGCGGTACGTGGCCCCGTCTCATTATTCCGGAAAATACTGCTGGAAATGTCAGAGAGGGCCGAGACAGACGCGGGCATTAGCAGATTAATAAGGAGATGCCCTTGTGTTTTTCTGACATTTAAATGTATCTTTCAAACTCCCTGGCAGTTTACAAGCTGCTTTTGGTTCGGCTTATCTCATTGGCCCATAAATCGTCTCCACACCAAAGTTTCACTTCATAGTGATATAATTCACCTCAGCCTTTAATTCCCCACGCTCGCCTGTGAAGTGTAATTGAGAAATGTCCAAACGGCATTCCCACACAGCGTCGGTGAATGAGTACTTAGGCCAAGACAGACACTGCGGAGCGGGACCGGGGACCGCGATTATGTCTCCTATAAGTATTCACTGATATTTTAATATTGCATCAGCTTTGAGAGAACCTCAAGTATCATTCCTGATGGATAAAAGGGTAACACAATTAAAAATGAATACAAAGCTTAGAACTCCTCACTGAAAATAAAAGAGAAAATGTTTTATTCTTCTGTGCAATAAATGATTCAGCAGATTTTCAGCAGTTAATTATGACTGTCCCTGGGGGCTGGGTCCCATTCTCCAACCTGCCACTGACGGATGATATTCGGCAGGTATCTGTAAATGCTTCACAATGGCTTATGGGAAATTTCTTTGTATTCACTCTTCTCGTTGTCGTCTTGTCTGTCTCATTTCCATCAAAATAAAGTTTTTTAAATCTATGTAATTACTGCTTTCAACTCAGAAAAAAATGTTTAATTATTACTTTCATGTCATATTAAAAATCTCAAAATAGCTAAACCTATCATCAGGACTGAGTTAAGGAGAACAGCAAAACAGCATCGCTGAGAATTTTTAATGTCTTGGAGTTAACTTGGGAAGGTGAAGCTGTAAAATTTTGCAGAGAAGTAATCTTGGACTTAAAATCTATAGGGGTAAACATCTCTCCTGACCTTTGACCTCTTTGTTCTGAAGCCTGTTGTATTTCTGTCATTCTGTGTCTGTCTGCCTGCTTCCTCTAACCGGGGCCAGAAACAGTGAAGCACCTTCAGGCAAAAACAGCACCTCCATCTTTGCCTCCTGAAGGCAGCGGGCTAGCATTACAGTCTGGCTGTTTTAGGGCCATACCAGCTGACCTTATCATTTCAACCGATCGTGGTTTGCTGCGAGTGTGGGTGCGCGTTCGCCTGTCTTCTTTTGCGTGGCCGTTTCTGAAGAATGGCGCGTGCACGTGTGACGTGTTGCGTAACGTATTGGACGCGACTCGCTCGACAGTTTGAACATTTACAGCCGCTGCCCAATAAAATTCAACGCCTTGCTGAACCATTAGACATTATTAATGTAAACGCTTCAGTCCTCCAACCAGCAGGAGGAGCAATCAGTGCTTATGGCTTCCATTCCAGTTTAAGGGTCCCGCCTGCCTCATTGCCCCTGAGGTTTTTGTGTCCAAATGTTGCTGAACTTGTGTTCATTAATATTAAGCGTAAAAACTCTTACGATTACAGGCCCCAGAGATCCAGGCCTAGAAATAAAAAGCAGCGTCATGGAGGTGCGCAGACGTGTATGTTTATTGACTTTCGCGCTAAACATACAGTAGGCCAATCGAACTTTGGTATTCCATCTCTTGGATTATAAATGTAGATTGGACGTGGAAGGGGGGAGGTTGGGGGCTATCAACAATTATTTAGACCAAGAGTTTGTTTTTTTAAATACTTTCATGTCTATTCTTTTATATTTAATTACGTTTCCTTCCTTTGTCACCGAGAGATGGACGCAGTTCCATGTCATGTGACACTATGTATGTATAGACATCATAATGAAATCATAAACAAAAAAACAGGTTACAGACTACTAATAATCCTTATTTGACATTTTTTAAATGCTACGTGTAATGTGCATCTCCGTGTGTGTAGAGGGCTGCGGAGTGCGGGGGTCTCAGGATCGACGGTAGGATGGTCACGTTTGTGACGTCACACAGAAAGGGCTTTGATTATGCAGCCAGCAAATGACTGTGATTCATCAAACTGAAGGAAGCGGGGTCAATGCCGCGTTTCTCAGAAAACCAAACCATGCACTTGTTGACTAGAACGTTAAATACAAAAATAAATAACTAACAGTACTAGTATTCTGATAATTTACCAAGACCAGAATACGGAATTTAATGACTCATATCTCAGGTATGTAAGAAAAAACTATAATTGAATTAATTATGTTAATGATTTGTGCCATTGGCAGAAATCCGTCAAAAAACCCCAGTCCACAGGACCGTAACTTTTGGGTTATCGTGTCACAAAACATGAAACGGTTATATTGAGTTTTTTTTTTCTCAATCAAGCAAAAAATCTCTTAAAACATCGTGTCTGACCTGTAGCTTAGCACTTTAGGCTGAACAGCCCGATGAAAACCAGGCAGAGTTTGCGGGATGTTAAAACGTTAGTTCTGTTCAGTCAAATACCAGGTTTAGGGTACCTTTGTCAAGGTTCAGAAAACCACTCCGCAGCAGCCAGAATGACAGGAGAGGAGTTACAGGTGCAGATCGCTCACACAAAGAAAGGCACATCCATCGCACCCTGTTAAGGGTCCCGGGGACGGGGGGGATATAAGCACAACCCGGGCAGCACAGGGCACACCCAAAACGGAATGCCAGTCTTTTACAGGGCACATACAATCCCACACTCCGGGCAATTTAGAGACACCAATTAGCTGAACTGCGTTTCTGCGTTACTTCTGGAGGAAACTCACAGGAGACCATGCGAACTCCACACAGACTCAGACACGGAGCAGAGGCGGGATTCCAGCCCCCAGACCCGCAGGTTTCTGCCCATCGTGCCGTCCAGAAGCGAACAGCGTGATTACAAAACAGAGCAGCCTAATGTAACCCCGCCAGTGTCAGACAAGGATTACTGCGGTCACAGAAACAGCTTACTGTCATGCTGCCAAATCTCCTACATTCACCGACTGTATATTTCGGTATTTTCTTTCAGCTACCACATAATAAATATAGCCTATATATTATAAAACAAGACAGTAAACTTTACTGAATCATGCTTTAAAAATCCACCGCTTGCACCTTCACACTCGCACAGTAGCCTACATTGTACTGGACAGGGCTGGAAAGCTTTACACCTGAACGGCAGCGCTGTTTGGACGGGATCTGCCAGAGTCCGAGCAAGCAAAGCGCGCTCTGAGGCACAGGCTTTTACATGCTCCTGCTTACTATGATTTTACTTAATCCTCACATCTTCATTGCGTTTTATTTACCTGTTTTTCCGGTCCCAAGTCATCCAGGACAGTATTTCCAAACGAGATTAATATAAGAATAGTTTAAAACCAAAAAAAAATGTGTATTCGGGCTGTTAATTCCGCAATGATCAATTTGATTCCCCCGTTAAAGACGTCTGAAAAACAAAATAGAGTTGATCCGCCACTTTGTGTACAGCGTGAGCGTTCCCGTTAATCCCGACTTCAGCACCAGCGAAGCGGCGGACAGCTCCGAGGCAGCAGCCAGTCTCCAGCGCCGCTTCTCCGGCTCCGGCTTCTGGGGCGCAAACTTCACCCGCTGGCTGCTTCCCCGGCGAATTTGCGTGCGGTGGCAGGATCAGCCAATCAAAGGGCGAGAGAGAGGAGGAGGCGTGGCCTCGGCAGCGCGTTCGGGGTGCGAGAGCGGCAGAGCTCGAGGACAGCCGTGCGGGTCCTCCCATAAACCTTCTATAAGTAATAATAATAACAATAATAATACGATAATAATAATAACAAGACAAACAAAACTTAAAAGGGTGTTAATTATCTTTTTTTACGTTTTAAATAGCTTGGATGTTCAAAATGATGGATACCATTCCCATACGATGATGAAACTAAAACTCGTGTCACCGTGAGTTATTTGTGAGTTTTCAGATAACTGGGACGGTTTCAAGTAATATTTATGTCGACATGAAGCAATAAGAAATAGAATGAAATGCACACTTCCTTGGTCGCACGTGACTAAATATATATTGCGTGAAATAACCGACTCGCTGTACAATTTTCTGTCATTGCACGGCGGTCAGAAAGACAGAACATATTGTACGCCATGCGAACAGATAACGTCTGATGTAACAGACGGAAAGATTTCTTTTGTCACTCTTCTGCATCCCGCCATTAAAATCACTGGGTAGATTATGAAATGGCTTTCCTTTGATGTACTTAACACAACTCCAGTGAAATTTTGATCTATTAAATTACTCTGCCCAAGGCGAGACTTCTTGTCAACATGAACCAAAATCTGTTATACTCCAACTACTTCTAATTGGAATAACGACATGGTGTATGGAATATAAATAAATGTATTTTTGTTAATTATTTACCCCATGCCTGTTGTGAACACTATGGAAGAGGATTAGGACCACCATGAAAATATTATTTGAATTCTGACTTTAATCTCAGAATTTTGACTTTTTCCTCAGAATTCTGACTTTTTTTCTAAACTCAGAATTCTGAGATTAAATTCAGAATTCTGACATTAAAGTCAGAATTCAAGTAATATTTTCATGGTGGCCCTAATCCTCTTCTGTAGTACACTGGCATCGAACTGATCAGGATAATCTATCATATCCCTGATTTACATACTGTATATGTAACGAGTAACAAAATGATGTTTTCTATACAAGCAAACGAGTAAATGTTCGCTCTTACAAAGAGTGGCTGTTTCCAAACTTGCTTACACGATGAACGTGAATGATTTTTAAATCCCTTTTACTTCATTGCCAATTGTGTCGCGCTAAGTGCGTGACAATTAGTGACAAGGTCAAATTTACCGTAATTTGCTGAATAATAAAACTAAAGGTGTGATTCAGTTTTGCACAAAGCTCACACAATATCTAGGGCAGGGGTCACCAACACGGTGCCCACGGGCACCAGGATGCCCCTAAGGACCACGTGAGTCGCCCGCGGACCTGTTCTAAAAATAGCACAACTCACCAGTGAGCAGCGTCTAAAATTTTATTTTATCCTGTTGTTATTCTTCTTTAATCACATTTGCATTTATATAGATTTGAAAATGACAATATCTAAAAAACAAAAGCATTAAAAATATGCTTAATTATTATACATGGAGTTTAGATAAGTTTAGGAGGGCGTTTCAAACTGGTAGCCCTTCGTATGGCTCAGTACGCGTGACGTAGCTCTCAGTTTCAAAAAGGTTGGTGACCCCTTATCTATAAGGCCACGCATAAACCAGGACAGATGGTCATCTATCCAAGCGATCATAACTCTAACGACGACGTATTAAGTTTGAAGCACAGGATCAAGGTTTTTTGCGTTGTATACGGTAATATTATACATTACTTGCAGTGTCTTCGTTTTTATGCACGAAGACTGCCGGGTTTTTCTGCCAACTTTCTCGAACCAGATTAATCCCTGAGCACCGTTTCCGTGCGCTTTATATTCGGACGGAGCATTACCTCATCTTCGGGGAGGCCCGACAGAGCAATTAGCCTGGACGAGGGCATCCTGCTCCTTGGCTGTGGTTCCAAGGCGCAGCCGACGTACACAAAGCATGGTGACGCTTTAACTTTTTCGGTCCCGTGGTGGGGAGACGAAGTGAAACAAAGCAGCGGGGGGCACCGGAGACTGGCCCCCAGAAGATTCGTTGTGGCAGCCCCCCGACCCAGAGCACCTCAGGAGGAGCAGCCTGTCACTGAGCCTACAGAGGCTGCCACGGCCGGAGACATGCGCACTTAAACCCAGAGCAAGAAGCACGGAGCTCATTATATTTGCTTCCCAGGTAAACGTATCTCAGATCTGCTTTCCAGTTTGCACCAGGGTGCACAGAAATCCCAAAGCACAAATACCATCCTCACAAAAAGTAACATCACCGTTATTTTTTTTCTGGCATGCATTTTTCAGCTGAAAATTAAAACCGGGATTTCCCGCCAAGCGCTGTACGTAGTTTCCTTTCGAGAACAGTGTTTTAGGTTTGCTGCTCTAATCTGTAGATCTGCTCCTGGTCGGCCCACAAGTAAGAGCAGCCTCCTCTGCGTAGGAAATCCCACAATCCTCTTTCTATCAGACATATATTCCTCTGCAGCTTTGATCTAAACCTCGTCAGATGTTACACTGAAATATGACTGTCCAGTATTATCTGCTCATACATGCATATACCATAAATGCAATAGCATAAGTGAAAGTAAATGCAAAGTAATTCATGATTTATATAATTGTGTTTAAACACAGATATCCCATTTATGTATAGCTTTATTTGAGTGAGGCTTGGCGATCTTCATGGTCATTTGTTCGAATCCCATTGGGTTTGTGAGCAAAGTCCTCAACTTCGTCTGGGACGCTGGATGCCAGCTCTCCGATCGACAAAAATGCCTGCTAAATAAATTGATGTAATGTAGCCTAATACATACCTACATGAGAGGCCTAGGCCTACATGTTTAATTTGTCGTAATTCCTACAAAAGATTTATGGGGACATCTAGTGGTTTCATTACAAATTACTTTCTAAAGAGATGTAATTTCGACAGTTGTGTGACATTTACGCGCATTTACTCGCATTTTATGCACAATTATGTAGCCGCGGATAAGTATGCTTGTATTTTATCTGAATACTCACGCTGAACGCGATCCATATGAGCCCACCTTATGATTTCTAATCCTACTTATAACTTCCAGCGTATGTGGGCGTGAGGTCATGTACCTTTCCAGCTCTAATTTCATTAAATCTTCTTTATCATGGCTAAAAGATTTTTTTACTTCTTGCCTGGCAACTAGGGGAGTTTCTACCTATTGAAAAGATCACGGGGTAGGTCAGCTATACCTGGGGATTAACTTTTTTTTGAAGGAAGGAAGATAATTGACATCGGGACTAAAAAACTCGGGGCTATAGCCGGAGTGATCGGACCTAACGACGCCCGTGCTGGCAACCAAACAACAGCTCGTTAGACCCAATATAAATAAATGCAAGTCGTGCCAATTATGACATGGGTATATCACGCAGTTATGCAAGACGCAGACACAGGCTCTATGAACCTGTAACTGACACTTTAGATAAATGCACACCCACAAAATGCATTTCACATTTGAGACATGAGATCCGATTGCTTTCTGATTGTTCATTTGTTCATGACGTCCCGAGTGTCCATTAGCGGAGCGGGATCTTCACCTGCGGAAATCATTTAGCCAGCATTTGTGATTCATTTAAGTGCTATACCCGTCATATTAACTAGTCCATTTCATGGGAATTTAACCTCTGCGGTTATTTATCTTCGTACAATTTTATGTGTGTTACTACCTACAAAAAAACATAAAAGACCAGTGATTGAAGCAGAAGCTTTCCTCATTGGGGTGACAAATTAAAACCATAAACTGGCACTTGCTTCCATCCTTGAGATCCGGTTAACGTTGTGCGGTGTTGCTGTACATGCCGGCCGCCGTCATTCCGGTGTGAAGAGCTTGAGAGCTACATTAACAGGTCAGATACGTTATACAACCACTGCTGCAGATCTGCTATTTCGCACGTCCCCTCTTAAGGGGACAGCATTTCACAGGAAAAGGCAAAGCGATCGCCACCGACATTTATGCAGAGATACGATACTTTACCAGCACAGAGAGGAATTGCGTTTTGTTTGTGCTTAATTAATGCTTACTGCAGTTTATCCGGTAACAAAATGCACACTTGGATGAAACTATGTTATGTACCACAGGTAGTCAACTATTTTATGTAAATTTGGTGATTAATGTATGTATAAAGGCAGGTGGATAATAGGCTTATTCATTGATTGTAAAACAAAATAAACTGCGCACATTAATATGTGATAAGTGGTTAATAAGTGGTTATACCGGCCAAGAAGCAAAAGAAACCATAAATTTCACTAGTCCCAGCCATAGGTTAGCTATCAGTCACAAACTAGTTCGGTCAGAGTTAAACCCTCAGCCGGCAGATATGGTGACGGTGGAGCTAGGGTTGCAACGTGGTCTTTATAGAGGACAGAATAACTGCCACTGAAAAACCTGTCATTTGCAACCCCACAGGTGATAGATGTCTCTTCATTACTTGGGAAGAAGATGGCAGACACTGTACTTGGTTTGGCAGGAGCCAGGACTGGAGGGATTGAGTTTGATGCCCCGCAGTAACGATGCGGCAGGGTAAGGAGC